GATAACATAGGGAAGCAGTGTAATCGTTATTGGTGCAATAAGTTGAAATGTTCAGCGATGTTCAAATTCTCGTTGTGTCTGTTGTGTTCAATTTGCTTTATTCCTTTTGAAAAAGGCATGAATTCATTTCTTCCATAACTCCACCCTCAAGAATCAGTTCTAAAGCAGGATCAACTGGGATATCTATCCTTGGGTGACAGCTTATCTATTATTAGAACATTTCTGAATTCAAAACTCTGCAGAACGCAGCCTCTATTTCATCCAAGATGTCACGACAGTGCACAAAACCCTTATTCAAAAACCCTCTACTTTGAGTAGCAATTGAACCTTGTACTGTGTTAATAATAGTATTAAAAATACACGGAGAAATTTACTTAGTTAAAGTGTGTGGAACGACTTAAATTAACTGGGCCGCTCTTAAAAACAGGGAAATATTTTTGTAATAGTTTTATAAGATAGCCTTCATTAAAATTTCCTTGAGTGACAACCAGTCTATCAGTAGAACGACTCCGAATTTAAGACTGTAGAGATCGCAACCCTTATTTTCTCAAGATGCCAAGGCGATTCACATATAATAAAGAGAAGGATGCTACAGAGAGTCATGTTCTCCTATTTCTTGAATGACATGATTTTTTCTCCAATAGAATCTGAGCGAGCATTTTTATTTTTTGCAAAATAGACTGATATCTTTAATGGTGAGAAGGGTCTTTTCCTTATAAGGAAACATCCGACATTCATTGGCTAAAGAGTTGTTGTTACTGTCGCTTGAAATTTACAAAACCTTACGATCAAAGCAGTTTTTTTTCAGGAAAATAGGCTATTGAAGTACAGTAAATGTTAACTCTTTCTATGGCTTTAATAACAGGTCAGACCTGAGGACTTAACTATCTTGAGAAGTATAGGAGAAGGAAATCATTACTTTAACCTTATGGATGTCTGTCTGATGAGTTCAAAACACACTGATCATAATTCTCAGTTCTTCCAAAATGTGTGGTTTGTTCTAGACAAGCACTCACCACGAAAATCGAATGATATATTTGGATAGTCGTGAGGTTCTTTTCTAACTAATATGTTGGGCTCTCAAAAGTCTAAATCAGCGGTAGAGTCTGAACGTTTTTTCGCACGTATTTATTATTTTTCTGTATTTAGTGGATATTTTTTTAATGTCTTTTGCGATCAATCTTCCCATGTTTCCGCCTTCCGTTCTTGCAAAAGAAATTATTTATCTCAGTCAACGTATATTACAACACATTAGACATGTGGATCGCATCATCCTCATTCCCTTTACATTCTGTTGATACAGAGGAAGTTCCAAAAAGACAGCTTCTTTCCCAGAATCCTCGGCACTTTTCCTTTGTGGAAAAGTCTCTTCTTGGAGATGTTTTCTCAAATACTACCATTTTAACCTCTTCATGTCTACGGTCAAAAATTATCTAAACTGTATATCCACATAATCTGCACTTTTTATTTTCTCTACCTACGCCCTTACAACAACCTTTTTCAGTAAACCTCTACCTCCAGTGGCTCTTGGATCTTGTACTGTGTTAATAATAGTAGTAAAATCACGCGGTGAAATCTTCTTAGTTAATTTGTGTTGAATTACTTAAATTAACTGGACCGCTCCGAAAAACAGGGAAACATTTTTTGAGCATTTTTATAGATTGACTATCATTAAACCTTCTTCTGTCTAAGATATATGTCAGAATCACTTTAGAATGGGGTCCAGTTGATAATAGAAATATAGTTCCAAGTAGATCCCTGATTTCACAAATGTGATTTGTACCTTGTTTTTATTTACAATATTCAAGCTCAAAATGTGTTTACGGCATTGATACGATCGTGTTTTTAGGAATAAAGAAAAAGAAAAAACATTAAAGATGTAGGTAAATTTGTACCACTCCAGTACGTACCTGGCTCTTTATGCTACCCTCTACCTTTAGAAGAGATGGACCAGACCAGCGATGGTGCATTGTTGGCATATTTAGGCGGGAATTCAAACGCATCTCAGAACCCTTGTGATTGACGAATTGTTCCCACTACCAACCTCTCTCTCACTAACCGGATGTAGCAAGCCTCTCGCTACATCTACGGAATGTGCTCAGACGAACACCCACATTAGCTAAACCACTCACATTCTCCCCGTATCCCATCGGTGAGAACAGCTACTTCCCACGAACCACTGCTTTACGGAACCGACTCCCAGTTCAAGTCTAGAGTTAACAGTTATCTTCCACTTCTATCCGCACAAATTACCCCTTAACCTAACCCTCTACCTCGAGTGGTACCGGTGCCTTACTGTACAAAATGTACGCAGTTATGAACGACATAATCACGCTTTCAAATTTGACATTTGTAAATAAGAGTAAAATGCAGTTAACTTTTTTAAGAATCAGGAATGGATTTGACAGAGTATTTATATTATGAACAAAGCCACACTCCTAAAATGTTAAAATTATTTTTTATTGTAACAAATGCCGTCACTTGAGAAAGATTTACTGAATGAACATATTCAATAAAACAATATATTTTAAAAAACAAAACAAAACTGAGACCACTGTCTTTAATGCAGATCAAACAATCTTGGTGTACTTGGAGCAGATGATATGGGATGTTTCCACTGTAAGCATTTTCTACAAGGTGTTTCACAATATTTGAAACAAAATGATTGGACACATATCAAGGACCATTCTCTATGCCTCTGGTTGGAAGTGAGAAACCTAACATTCCTCCTGGGTTCGGATACCAGCTGGATCTGCTACAATGTCAGATGTTCTGGCGATATGGTCATCCTGATAGGCTTCTGATTAGTTATCAGAAGACGTTGCATACACCGAGCAACAACTTTCGTTATGCTATATTGTTTAAAATCTCTTAAACTTTATCACGGGATATCCTAATAGCATTGGTTATTTTATTTATAGTCCTCTGTCATTCATCACTATATGGTGAACCCGATCAATGTATTTTTTTTTCGTTGGTGGCAGTTGCAGAACATCCAGATATCGGACCATCTTCAAACACCCCTTTCCCCTTAAAAGCTTAACTGCCCATTTCTCCACTGTTTATATAGCTGGAGTGTCAACACTCTAATGTAACAACAAAGTCAGCATGAATGTCTTTCAAAGCTAGAACAATTTTAACAGGTATCTGTTAACATCACGATGATAAATCTTGTCTAATTTCAAGAGAAGTCACTACTAGTTACATCTGAAGTCTTATTTGAACAGTCGCATATTATTTTATCTGCAAAGAAACAATGACGTTATTAATCACAAGAATCGAAATCAATGCATGCCTGATTTCACAGCTCTGTCATCACTACTTCATAGTCTTCCTACGAACCTTTCATCCCACAGCGAAAGGCACTAGCAATCAACTGTAAGAAAACTAAAGGTATGCTTGTGAACAATAGAAAAATTCAAGATAGGAACTACAAATTGGAGATGTCAACATTAAGTAAATGTGTTTAAATATCAGGGAATTTTATCACCAGAGGATGGAAAATGCGACTTTGATTAACAAAATATGTATTTCCAGGCAAAGTACTAGGAAATAGAAAGATTCCGTTAAAAAGTAAAGAGTACTGAATTTGTATGTGATATTAATAAAGGAAAATAAAAGATAATTTAGATAGACAGAAGATGGCAATTGGTATTGCATTTTCATTTTTGCAGATTGTAGAGGACATAGGAGGGAGTTACAGAAGGGAGAAAAGAAATTATTAGAATAGAACATAGGTGGAATTTTGCTAATTCATGAATAAAACGATTGGACCCAGATGCCAATCTAGTAGTACGTTTAAATTCATGCAGTCGCGTCAAAGAGAACAACTCATCAGAACAGTTTCCATGAAAATAACTGTAGAAAAGATAGAGGGGAACCACTTTACGTCGGTGAGAAAGTGATTGAAGACAAGAGCTTATGTCAAGTTCGATTGCTTTACAGGCCGTACTTTGAATTTTGTCCATTATCTCGACATATGTAGTCGGAGCACCAGACTAGATAAGAACAGCAATATTCAATGCACGGACGTATGGTAGATATATAAATGTACAAGATTGATATCTGATCAGTTAATTTCCTGGCACGACAGAGTGAACAAACTTTTCCAGCAGTAAACCTATCAATTGATTCGATATAATAATTCCACTTCAGGGTAGTTTCTAAACGTGAAAACCAAAAAGGCACACAGATTTGTTTTCCTTGAGGTTGACAACGGCCATGCTGACGGTAGGTAGAAAAATTCTTTTATGACAGCTTTATTTTGGAAGGGTTAAAATTTAGAATCATTCCTTGCCCCAGTTAGCCACAGATTGGAAACCCGTCTCGGGTTTCCTTTGCCGGACCTACTGGTTTCTTACTAAGACAGGAGTAAATATTTGTATTATCTGCATAAATACCTAGTTAGGAACTGATGATATCGACGAGGTCGTTTATGTAGATCAGAAACAATATAGGTCCAAAATAGACCTATGAGTGACCCTTGCATTAATATGAAATGATCTAGAAGCGTTTCCGTTAAGCTCGACATCCATTACCTGATCTTTTACGACCGATTGGTTTAAGCCTAATATTGGACAAGAGAAACCGTAGCTCTCGACCTCGTGTAGAAAAATCCATGACAAACTTTGTTAGAAACACCTTCAAGACGTCTAACCAGGTACGTTCAGACAGTTTCCATATAGCATGTTCTCAAATATCTAGATGTGACAGCCAAGTCGCTTTAGCTGCGACATCCTTCAAATTTTAGAAAACAAATCTTTCATCGCGCGGTCTTTATATTCTCCCACTATTTTCCCTCAGCCTGGCGCCTCTAAGGGACAGAAATACCTGGTTATAATCAGATCAGGCAAGCAAATCTGCGATACTCAATGCGTTATTTACTGTAACCAATCATAATTCACCGAGATAAATCATTGAAGCTATGAGAGCCATGCCAAGTGTAACATCAGGACATTTATTGTTATTATTGATTTTTCATTACCCTTCTTCTCTTGGTTTACGGCCACATAACGTTGAAACACCAGTTCCCGTACGATCACCGGAGTTAAGCAACGTGGAGCCGGTCAATACCGAGATGGGTGGTCACTCGAGAATAGCAGGTACTGTAAACTTAGATGGGCAGATGGTGTAATGGTTCGGAATTATTTATCAGAGAGCCATGTTCCAATTCCAGTTGGGTCGTTATGGTTCGTTTTACGCGCAAATAACCTTGGGAAAGTTATGGGTTAATTAGTAAAAATTTATCCCCAAAACTATTATTACCTCAAAAATACGTACAAAATATTTAGATTTTAGTAACTTTCTTCACTTTTTTGCATTTAGCAATAATAATAGTAATAATAATAATAATAAAATCATCAGCATTACAAACGTTGTTTTCATTATCGTCACCATCATCATTTATTAATTCTATTAGTATTTCCCAGCCTTTCTTTTTCAGAATTCTGTGTTTGTTCCATTAAAAGATGCTCTTTTGTCATTAAATGCCATAAAAAATGTTAGGTAATGTTACAGGGGCAGATTGACCCTGGCACATTTCTAGTATAGAACAAGATAGAAAATGAGATCATGAAAAGTATTTATCCATTCTTAAATTATCGCGGTATGAGAAAAAATAAGACGATGATTGATGGCATAGAACATTTACTCACTTTCTTTTTGCTTAGAATCATTCAAGTCTTTCTTTTTCTTCCTGTACGCCCTTTATTCTTTTGTAGTTTCAGTTCTCAGGATTTTATGGGTAAGTTTCCTTTTGCATTTCTTGAAATCAAATCGTATATTATAGTTTTTAAAATATCCTGGTTTATAATAGCCCTACAGCAAGTGAAAATGGAATGGAAAATTCATGCCAAGCATATATATATATATATATATATATATATATATATATTATTTTATATGCGCAGTACTTTGTGGAAAGCACTCAATATCAGATATCAGTGGCAGAGCTTACTTATTCAATTGCATGAGTTTGTGAGTCTGGGTTCCACGCTTTTGGGATCATCCGACAAACTGGCTTAATTGACGCTTGTTTGAATATGTTTGGTGGTAGCAGGGGGAATTTTCTTCATACACATGAACACACATACATACAGGTGCACGCATTTTAATTTACACAAACACATCCATAAAAACAATCCGAGACAAGGCGTAGATACACATCCATGCGTTCGGGCATACATACATACGCAGTTGTAATTCTATTTCGGTGTCGGACGCTTAGCTTTTATTATATGTAGTGATGTTCCTTTCAACAAGGGGCGGTTAGGGGTGTTTTTGACGCTTTTCAGATCTACCGCCTGCACCGTCAGAGAAACTTACACTTCCTCACTCACACATACACACATGTAGACGGGCATACACACTCCTAGTGGTCTATTTCACCACTACTTTGGTTAAGCTGGGTTCTGTTTGTGGGCATGGTGATGATGATGTTAGTATTTATAACACTGACTGCTTGTGTATTATTGACGATTGTGATTATGCTGATATTGATAATAACTGTGATACTAATTATTATTAATAATAGTTATTAATATCTTAAAGATAATACTAATGGTAGTGGAGATTGTTATGAAGTTATTATCCCTAAGGTGGTAGGAGTGATGTTAGTGTAGGCAACGATGCTAATAGTTTTATCGGTCTGTGTTAATTGATATAGTGGTGGTTGTGTTTGTGGGTGTGTTGGTAGTCTTGGTAACAGTGCAGGTAGTTTTAATGATAGGTGTTGGTGGTTATGTTTTGGTGGTCTTGCTTTTTAGTGTTCTACCATTTTTTCCGGTAGTTTAATTCCTGGCTGTGTAGGTATAATTTGTTTGGTATGTATTGTGATAGTAATTATTTATTTTCGTGTCTGCATTTAGAAATTATTTCCGATCTTTGGTTTAGTAATTCCTTTTGTTGAGTATGGAAGATTATAGCCACTTTTTCATGTAAACAAGGTAGACCCCTCTTTGATATATTATTTTCGGCAGGTGGACTTTTCAGGATTTCCCAGCTTATTTTTCACATGCTGTTTCTGTCTTTTAGTTGCCATATGTATGTGGATATTGTGGTGCTTTTGGAGTGTTTTCTGTGGGGGAAGAGGTGCATTTTCTTTGCTTGAATGTTCCTTCTCTGACGCCAATGTAGTATATTGTTGTGTTGTTTGCGTTTACTTTAGCTTTGTATACTATGTTCATTTGTTAGCAATTTCCTTGTAGTGGGCATGTAGTTTTGTGTTTGCAGTTGCATTGGTGAGGGGTTTTTGATTACGCTATTGCGAGTTACTATTTTTTGTTGTGGCTTTTTATTATATGTGTTATGTTTTTAGTGCAGTTGTAGCAAACTTTTCCGAGGTTTTTGTTAAATATTTTTTCTAAGGGGTTAATTACGGGGAAGTGTTTTGTATTAGATTTAGGAATGTTCTGCCTATGATTATTCTGACGGTTTTATTGTATGGCGGATTAGTTTAAGTTATATATTTTTTTCTGTTTTTCCCATTTGTTTGTGATGGTGTGTATTCTAGCTGATGTTTGTGTCCACCTGTCTTTAGTATCAACCTGGCTACCGCAAAAAAGCATTGGCAAACTACTGCGAGAAAAAAATCTTTCTCGTCTGGAACTTAACTGACTTATACTATAATTTGTTTTCATTTTTAATGAGCTACCTTATTTCCTTGTTAATGTTTTGCGTTTCAGTAATTATTTCCTGTTCTTTTATATTTTTTTCGAAAAAAAATTAATTAGTATCACGCTACTCTAATCTATGAACGATAGTTGATATATTTTGCAATGAAAGTTCGCAGAAGTAAGAAAATTGGTGAATTTCAACGAGGGCAAATAATAAGATGGCATCAGTGTGGCAAATCAAATCGAGAAATTGCTACGTTTTTCCAGGTTAATCATCAAACCGTTAATAATATTGTCAAGAAATTTAATAATGAAGTCCATATGAGATACTTGTATATATTTGTATGCTTATGTGTTTTCTTTTTCGATGTATATGCTGCTTTTATTTTAGTATTGCATTTGATGTTTTTTTATGTGTGTGTATGCGGGTATATATATCTAAATATGTCTACGTGTTTATGCATACTAATCTGATTGTGTATGTGTTGTCTTTTGCAAGATTTCATCCTCCCCTGCCCATATCACCACTTCAAATGTATCCAAGTTGTAATAAAGTTTTACATCTCTATTAGATTAACGTTTATTCTGGCTTTTCAATTAAAAAAAAAAATGTATTTTTCCTCAGTTTCTTGATTACATAATTTTAGAATATTTTAAACTTAATACAGATTAAATTTAAAACTGGTAATTTTTGATTTTCAATTTTTAGTAAAATTTAATATTAATCAGTTAGAATGATTTCTATTTTAGTCTAACCCTAACATTAAGGCATTAATAATTATAACCAAGGTTCATTGTAAAGTTTTTTGAATTTTCATATACTTGTATTTTGATTGGTCCTTGCAGCTTATGTAACAGCGTTTCCTTTTGCGAGGGGTGTTTGATCGATTTGAAGCTTTTAAAATTCTTTATTCTACATTCAACACCATCACTTGATAAGACACCTTATTAATTATAAAAATCTAAATATATTTAATGGTACATTAGACATGGCATTGTTATAATAAAAATCTAGGAATGAAAAACACATTTTTTAGTTTTTATTTATTTGTATTCAAACAATAGATATATTGTAATGAAATTTTTATCAATTATGTTTTAAAGTGAATATAATACAGTAGCATATAAAAACATTTATTTATTTTCGTTGATTTAATAAATCTTTATTTTTAAGAAACTTAATAATACATAACTTTTCATGTAGGCACAAAGGACATGTGTCTACAATTTCTCTTTTTTTTTAATAATTTCCATTTTGCAGCGGGGTTTTTTATTTGCTTCTTTTAAAGGCCAAAATACTTAGATAGGGAAGTTTGGTTACGGTACTCATTGTTTTTGAAGGAAAATCATTTTTCGCGCTTCCAATGTAAACTTTTTTAATAGCTGGATTTACACTAGATGAAATAATGCACTGGTAAACTATAGATTCTTTAAGGCATTTATTATTCAATGGACAATTTATGGGAATCCAGTAGTTACATAATTTTTCATTACTATTATTTATTCTCATTTCTGGACAACTATTTTTTTTATTCTGGATTAAATATTTATTTAACATTTTATTATTGTGTGTTTTTATATTTTTTCTAAATTTTCAGTGCAACTATAACTTAATTTCAGGGTATTTATATTGAAAAATCTTGCTACGAGAATTATTTATTGGAAAATGTTTTTCAATGAAAGCAAGAAATTTTCGTCCTAACTTACTACTAACAATTTGGTTAAATGTGGGTGTGTACCAAATGTTTATTTTTTCTATTTCTATTTTTTCTCTGGTTATTTTATTATCAATTTTTATTTAATGTCGGGGCATTTATAGACACTATTCTTTAAAGATTTATTATAAAAATTACAATGTTCATAGAATATCTCTTCATTAGCAGAATTTATACTAATTCGTTTCTCTAGGGATGAAGCTATTATAGTGGATATATAAAGGATTGATATTTGTTTTTTTTTTATAAGGTTGGTATATATTTTCATTAAGTCTAATGTTACATCGAGGGAATGTATCTTTTTTAATTTAGTATTACTTACAACTTTTAAATTTAGGCACTTAAATTCTCTACGTATACGTTTTCCAATCTTGTCAGTTTTGAAGTTTGTTGATTTCCTCACAACTATAAGGCCATCATCCCTATACAACACAATATCTCCTATATTAAATTCACGGTGGGCAGCGAGATTATATAAAATAAATAAACCAACAAGATCGGAAGACTACGCAGAATTCAACGATCCCATTGTAATGTCAAAATGGTTTCCTGAAATTTTTATCCACTGTTCCTTATTATGAATGAGAACAGATGTTTTTGCATTCATAATTATGTTGTTTTTATCCTTAGATAGATCGCTTGAAAATGGAACAAAAATTTTAATTTTAATTTTTAGTTCGGAAACATAGTAATTTCGGTGCCGCGATGAAAACATTTTTTAAATAATATATATATATATATAATGGAAACGGAAACGGCATACTGTACTGTTTGGAATTCGCA